GGGAAAAGTGCTCTATATTCTGAAATTTAGAACTTGAAGCAGCAAAAAAAAAAAAAAAAAAAACCCACAAAAAACCCCACCAAAATAAAAAAAACAAACCTAAAACCCCAAAGGGGCGAGATCCTCAGATCTCTCATTTCTCCAAAGTCCAAAGCTAAGAGGCTGTGCCAGCTGCATCAGCAGATGAGGTGTAATAGAGGGAAAAGTGCAACATAATTTACACCACAACTTCATCTGCAGCACATAAAGCAACCCTCCAGTTGCTTTATGACCAGACCCTTCAGGTCTGAACAACCTGAATGTGCACATTGTCTCTTGATTTCTTCTTAAACTGGAGATAAGTGAGACTAATAAATTGTCTCCCCCTATAAAACACAAGGGCTGAAAAAAGGCTAGCCAGCATCAGCACCACTGTGAGTTTGTGTTCTCAGCAACCAGGAGGTGAGGTTTCAGACCGGCTTTTCCTCAGGGTCAGTCTCCACTGACCCAGAGCTTGCTTCTGTTTGCTTTTTACTCTCTGAACTCCAGATACATTATCTTTCTTCTGTCTAAAAATAAGTCAAACATCCCTGCGTGCCTGAATAACCCACTGCTGTTACTTCTTGCCTTCTGAAATTACAGTTCAAAACCTGCTTTTCAGTTTTCCCCTCCCATTACCAGCTCTTTTTACCCTGGCACACATGGCACACAGGTTCCTGCCCTCTTTGTAGCTGGGCTCAGATTTATTACCAGGCAATAGATTGTTTCTTCTGGATGGTGGTTTTGATGTTACAAATAAAGTATTTGATCTGCACAGTGGATAATAGACATTTTAATACCTATTTAATGAATTGTTTTCATGTTGGGCTGAGTCACGATTAGGGTTTTTGTTTGCGAGAGGTTTTTTAATAGAACTGAAGGAGGACTAAGAAGCTTCCACTGAATCCAGATGTTTGCTGTGCCAATCCTAGTGTAAACGCTTAGGAAAAATAAGAAGGCCTTGCTGCAGAGTATAGATGTGGCAAAGCCAAGCTAATGAGCATGTGAAATAATCCAAACTCCATTTTACAGGCCAGAAGTGAAGAGCCCCTGGTGTCAGATCCAGCCCCTGCTACAGCCTCTCAGTGACCCCTGCCTGGTGATGGGACTCAGGAATGGAAATACTCAGCTGTGAATTGGCTCTTTGCCTGAAAAAAAATCCACATGGTCCCTTCTCCTGGCCTTCACAACATTACTGAAGCATCTTCAACTCACTGCTTACTGAAAATTGGACACCTTGAGACAGTCTGGAGATGCAGGATCCATCCTGCATTATCCACATTCAGCATCCTCAGTGTGGTTTGCACTCACATGTAACCCAACATCATCACTTCCAGGTTTAGCAGCAAAGTTTCTCAGCACAGCTTCAGCTGGAAATCCCAAGCTCAAATTCAATCATGTAACTTGGGGACAGACTGAGCTAGGTAAAAAAACCCACAACCAACTAAAGGGTTTGTGGAGGACATAATTCCCCCCAGTACTTTTCTGTCTCAGCACTTTAAAGCACCATTGGTCTTTCTCAAAGCCCTGGCCTGGCACAGCAGCACACACCACCCAGCAAGTTGCTGATTCAGGTGCTAATGCTTCAGACTTGAACTCAGTACTGTGTTTTAACGAAGTAACCTCTCTGGAGCTCACAGAAAGCTCATTTGGAGAATAAAATCAAGAACAAATTTGTCATCTACAGAGAGAGCTGGGAGTTCTCACCCAGTTCAACACTTACCATCTTACACTGCTTGTTGATGAAGTTCCCCCTTATCCTTCATTCAGTCCATCTGGCTTTTCCTCTCCAAACTATAACCTGTGCTCCACGCCCAGGTGACCCAGGAGTTCTTCCTGCTCTTGCCCCAGCATAGGACCCTGTGCTCATGCTGTAGATGCAATCATTTCAGCAGGCTATCATGGTCCATCACTGCTCACATGCTGCTAGAGACCCCTCAAAAGGGCTGGAAGAAGCACGGCATTCCTCCATTTCATGAGCTTTGCCTACTCTCTTAATGCTCAGATTATTTCTCATTTAGATAGAGAGTATCCCTAGCCACATTGTTTTGTCTCTACATGCTGTGTTTTCCAAGGAGGGACCTGTAACAAGCACTTGGTGGTGTATCTGATAACATGTGTGGGATAAATCCCTCAAAGGTTTCAACACAATGGATCACAGAATCCCAGACTGGCTAGGGTTGAAGGGACCTTACAGCTCACCCGGTTCCAAACCCCTGCCACAGGCAGGGTCCACCTTTCACTAGACCAGATTGCTCCAAGCACCATTCAATCTGGCCTTGAATACTGCCAGGGATGGCACATCCAGAACTAACTGAAGATGAGCAGTGCACAAGGTTTGGCGATTTCAGTCTGCACTAACAGCAGCACTGCCTCTGACTTCCCACTGGTCAAACATATTTGCTGAAACAAAAACAGCGAGTGGAAAAGTTGCAGGAGGGGGAAGAAGAAGGAAGCTGGTGGAAAAGACAAACCACCCAAGGTGGAAATGCTTAAAGTCACAGACTCTGGAAAAAAAAAAGAGGAAACTTGTCCCCTTGAAGGGATCCCACTTCAGATCCTACAGTAGTGGAAAAAAAAAATAACCCACCACAAAAACCTTTTAAGACTCTATTGCACGAATAAGAGCTGCTAATTCGACCCTCACCCTGCTTCATCGCAGCTTGTGCCTACACAACACTGGTGTCATCTATCACTTTCCAAAAATACTGCTCATTTCCTGTAGTTCTGTAATACTATCCCCTGGCATCACAAATACTACCTTTTGTCTGTCTTTTTCCCTCCTCTCGATTTGATGTACCGGTATAATTTCTCTCTATAACAACGGCACATTTCATAATGAAAAGACCCCCCAACCTCTGAGGTTGCTACTAAATCTTTATCTCTGCTGTAACACAAGACTCATTTGAAGAAGTGAGTCATTCACATGATTTAAAGTCTTACACATTCATGAAAGTTACGAAATGCCTCTTACACAGTGTGGGAAGAGCAATAAAAGCCCACTGCACCCAGAGGCACACAACAACCCAGCTACCTCCCAGTCACCACGCTCTCTGCACCCCTCCTGTGGTGCCAGTTTGCTTCTTAAGCTTTTAACAACCCCTGCAAGGCCATTTTTGCAGGCTTGGGCTCTTCTTCACAGTCCTTTCCCACCCCCACCTATGCAGTCCTTGCTGTGGCACTGGAGTTCCTGCCAAATGACATTGGCCTACTCTGCACATAGAAGCAGATGCTCCATGACTCATGCAGGGCTTACAGACACAAGTTATGGATTACAGCATGGCAATTAACAATACCAAATATCATCTCTAACATTCAATCATGCAGATATTAATACTCATGGCATACAAACACAGTAACTCAGGAGGCAGCACCTTCTCCTTCCTATGAGCAGCCTTTAATCAGTACCTTGCAATCCTCCAGTCTTGAGGCCCCTGTAGACCATACAGATATAAATCACACAAGGAAGGAAAAAGGTAACAAACCCCTGCCTTGACTGCAGACTCCATGGGAAATTAAATGCTATTTACAAAGAACTGAATGCAGTATGATCAAAAACCTAAAGTGAGAGATGCTGATTCTTATCTGTCATATGAAGGTTTTTTTTGTGAAATCCGAGTGTCAGAAAGGGCCAGACACTCAGAAGAGACAGACAACTCACTCTGGCCTTGAACAAAACCAAAGGAAAAATAATGCTCCCTGTCAGCACTGTAAAGAGCTAAATACCCCCAGGCAAACAGCCCATGTCCAGCAAAGAGATATGTTGCAAGTCACTGTAATAAGCAGCAGTACACAGTGGCCCACCCCCAAAATAACTTCAAAGTGCTCACAGGCAGAGATAGTACACTTGACTCTAAAGCTCTGCTTCAATTGTCACATAGAAATGCCAAGGGATTTGGGGATTACCTTCAAAACCTAAGGTGCAGGAAGAACCAAAGCTGGAATTTTCCCATAGTGACAAGGCTGGAAGTGCCACTGGATCAGAATTTCCCACGGGCAGAACACTGCGTAGTCCCTCAGGAGGCAGCTCCTGGCTCTGTTCAGCAGGAACAGAAAGGGCTGAGTGCCATCTACTGGGCTGCTTCACCAGGCTGATTTAGAACAGATCACAGAATGACACAACGGGTTGTGCTGGAAGGGACCTTAAAGCTCATCCAGTTCCAACCCCGTGCCACAGTCAGGGACACCTTCCACTAGACCAGGTTGCTCCAAGCCCCGTCCAACCTGGCCTTGAACACTGCCAGGGTTGGGGCAGCCACAGCTTCTCTGGGCACCCTGTGCCAGCGCCTCAGCACCCTCACAGGGAAGAGCTACAGCCTAAGAGCTCATCTCAGTCTCCCCTCTGTCAGGTTAAAGCCATTCCCCCTTGTCCTGTCCCTACAAGCCCTTGTCCAAACCCCTCTCCAGGTTTCTTAGAGAAGCTTCCAGTGCCTAAAGGGGCTACAAGGTCCCCCCTTAAGGAGTCTTCTCCAGGCTGAACAAGCCCAGCTCTCTCATCCTGACTTCAGAGCAGAGCTGCTCCTGCCCTCGCAGCATCTCTGTGGCCTCCTCTGGACTCTGAAATATTAGACAATGACCACCATAATGCTGGTTATATGCCAGCTGGTGATCAGAGTAATAGGGATGCAGAAGCACAGGTTCTCTGGATTTTTAGATGCGAGAAGGCTGCTCCCCACCAGACTGGCTATCTGATCCATATAAATCATTTTTTATTGCCTGCTACACTGTCTGCATATAGAGGCCTGGTGTCCTGACTGAGGCAGCCAGGAATGTACAGCTAGAAAGAGACACAGACCTTGGAAGAAAAGTCACAATGAATGTCTCAGTCTCTGAAGGGGCATCACAAAACCTCAGAGTTAGCAGGTCATAAAAGTGGTATAAAAGGAAAAAACAACCAAACAAACAAAAACCAAACCAAACAAATCCACAAAAGAAAAACAACCCCCTGAAAATGAGCTGGACAAACAGCCAGAATAAAAAAGTTAACAGAAAACAAGAAAACATTTATTGCTTAAAAACTGTGGTTACGTGAATGGCCAGGAGGAGGTTCCCATGGGCTCAGTCTGCCAGTTCATCCTTCACCAGCACAGGAAATCTCTTGCCTCCTTCACAGAGCTGCGTGTACATGGCCCGATAGAGCTGCGCTGCAGAGGCCTCCGGCCAGGGCCTAGCCTCCAGGACAGGCAGGAGTTCTGCCATCATGACCTGGAGCAAAGGAGATACATCACCAGAGCCAGCATGTACTTTTGGGATGCCATGAAGTGACATGGCTGCATTACAAGTGCTACCTAACCAGAGCAGTGTGACTAATAGCATGCTGATTGATAGGCAGGTACTCTCTTTTGTCATATTCAACAAAGGCAGAGTTGTTCATCCTCTACTCATGAAGTACACCAGCAGCCACCCAGTGTTCCCAGAGCAGAGATAAATGCTGCAGAGCCAGCCTGGCACTGGAATAAGATCAGCATCCTGCTAGAAGCTGAAGCTGATGTTGATTCAGGAGCTTTCCAACCAAACAGTGAAGTACTTACCCAATGAGTAGTTCAACCATTTGCTCCTGTCACCTCCCAGTTGAGCCACATTAATCCACACATCACAGGCAAGTGGCCAGCTCCAGCCCTAACAGAATAAAGCTGCACTCCTCCCCAGGAGGGAGCCCCAGTCTTGCTCAGAAAGACATTTTGCCTGGGATATAGTTTTCAAATGACAGCAGCTAATGAAATATGAGCAGTGTGCACATTAAAATCTACACAGCCTGCTATACACACTGCCCTTCAGAAGTATGGTGCAGGTGTCAGTCACCTCCCTGAAAACATTTTCCAGGGGTGGAAACAAAGGAAGACCCAAATAGAACAGAGTACAGGGGATCTGCACAGGGACAGGAAACAGGACACAGTTGCTCATCTCTGGTAAGAGTTAAGAGCTGCATACATGAAATCTACCTAAGGGGAAAAGTGGCATGTGAAGGAGTACTACAGTGTTGTTCTATAAAAAAGAGAGACCCTTCTGTTTTCCATCTGCCTGGCCTGCTCCTGATGCACAAGAAAAGAGGCCTTTACCAAAACCAGGCTAAGAGCTACCATGAATTTCCATGATTCTTGTTATTTCTCCACAGAAAGGCAATTGATAGGCTTGACTCAGAAATATGTATGCACATCCTTTCCCAGGGTCTTTATGTTGTACCAAGCCAATTCACTTCACCTGTCCAAAGAATTTCACTTATCCTGCACACAGCTGCTCCAGATACCTAGAGCTCACCCAGCTAAAAGCACAGATTTAGAGGCATGTGCAGAGGAAACTGAGTCAGTCAACGAAGGAGCAGGCAGTGGGTCACTACTTCATTCTTGGCAGATAAAAATCAAACCCTCATTACCCATAATTCAGGACTATGGTGCTAATGTCCCATCTGAAGACAGGCAGCAATCTTCAGCCAGAAGGAGGAGCATGGCCAGTTATGAGTAACTCATCCCTGGCTTACAGGAAATAACTTTTCCAAAGTCTCTATCATTCAGGTCAACAGCAAAGGGTAGGTCAAAGGAGCAGATGTGATTTCACTGCTCTTCTCTGCCCTTTGCTCCTGCTCTGCTCAGGCTGGTTGAGAGACTGGTCTCCCACCATGTTCCTACACGCAGCCTCAGAATAGTAAAATCCCAATTAGCAGCACAGTGGTTTGAGGTTTAAAAGGAAAGGAACAGACAGCAGAGGAGTTCACTAGCTGGAGGTCACTCAGGACAGAATGACAGTGGGTGGCTTAACGGGACTGTAATGGCTGCCAAAGGGGGTCGTTAGGTATTACAAAAAACATCCTCCACTGCCAAACTCCTTCAGAGTAGCTAAATAAAAAAAAAAAAAAAGAGTATCTTATCAGGAGAGGGTCAGACATTTAAGTGCCTTTGCTCTGGCCTTAACAGAAGAATACCACTCACAAAGCAAGCAAAGCACTGATGGGATTTGGACATCAGGCATGAACACAGAAACATCACTGGGAGTGCTTGCTGCCCTGCTGCTCCCCCACGTGTCAGCTGTTGCCCTATAACTGCCCTTTTCTTTCCCTGCACCGGAATACAAACCCTTTTATGGACTCACCTTTTGTAAGGCAATTTCTTGGTGCAGTATTGACACCTGCAGCTTCAAGGCAAACAGGTCCCTCAGCTCCTGGAAACTGGAGTAACAAAGGAGAGGCACAGCCAGAATGCCTGCACTGTCACACATCTGTCCCCTGGAAGGAATACAGGCTGGAGAGCAGCTTCCCATGTCCCCAGCGCAGTCTGGGTGCATCTTCCTCTGGGATTCCACAGCTGCCAGGGTGGAAGAGTTGGCAGGAGGCAGAAAGGTACAAGTTAAACCTGTACTTGCAGAATTTGTCATTACTCTTCCTAGAAATGGGTGACTGATGTTGTTTTAGTCAGGACAAGCTCCTCAGAACAGCACAACCAGGACATCTGAAGCTATGGCATGAAGCCTCTCCCACCTCCCAAAAGCTCCCTCACCAGCCCTCCTGAATTAAAACAAAGTCTCAAACCTCATCTGAACACAGATGGGGCAAAATAATACCACAGCTTTGTTTGTCACCAGAGAATTTTAAATGCTACATTACAATTTATGATAACCAGGAGAAAGCTTATGTTGGACCACAGTGTTGTGTGCACAGATAGCAAAGTCCTGTTCAAGCACAGCTGGCCACATTCATACCCCACTACAAGAACAGGCTCTGGCTCACCTGCTCGCAGGAGCTGCAGCTTATGCAGGCACTGGGAAACTGTGGTTTGCAAACCCTCCAAGGTTAAAAGGCTTTCATACTCTCTTTGCAGGGTGGGTTGGTCTGGAAGAGAAGCAGAGGAAAAACAGCAGGCATGAGCATACTGAAACCTTCCTCCCCAAATACCAGTTTCTAGAGTGGCCTTGGGTTTACCAGCCCTCATTTTAGGCAGAGAACGTTCCTGTCCCTCACATCCAGCACATGCCAAGAACACAAGACACATGTGACTGGAACCTACTTAAGCCATCCTTATTTCACCTTCTACCCCTTCACTCCCCTTTTTTCAATCCTTACCTGCAAGCTCAGCTTCCAAATACTGGCTCAGAAGGGAGGGGACATCCTGGAGGACCTTTAACTCCTCCTCCATCTCTGCAGGACTGAAGGCTGGCCTTGGTGAACAGAACTCAAACAGCAGCAGCTTAAGGAAGGTTACACAGCACCAGCTCTGTGCACCACCCTGAGCCCAGGGCCCGGCTAGCTGGAGTTGGGGTAGAAGGCAAGCAGCCTGTGCAGTGGCATTGCAGGGGGAAGGTAAGATGCCGCAGGTCTGCCTGGCATGTTGGCCTTGTGGCCTTGTTTCTCTGGAGCTAAAGATTTATGAGTTATCAAGAGCAGCACTATTAAAAAAAACAAAACCGAAACACTTCACAGAGACCCAGCTTGAACTCCTGTTATTGAAAACATAACTCTCCAGATGGGAGCACACTGTAGCAATTGCAATGGTGCTGCTGTACTGCACCCCGTGCTTGTGGAAGGGGTTGGGAGCCAAGAAAGGATACTGTTCTCTGGATCCTCTCTACGAAACGGGTCCTGGCAGCTGCTGCATCTGCACTTGTTTGGCAGAGACAACATCTCTCCCATGCCCTGAAAATTCAAAAGCGGCAGGATGTGGAGGAGTTATGATCCAGTGTACCAGTGTGCTCACACTGAGCTGTGACTCATCATATGACATTCTGTAACACACCAGTATCACTTCAGATACAAGCATCTTCCTCACCTCTTTCTTTTACAGGTTATTAACTAGCCATTCCCTCATTTTTGAGTGCTGGTATTAAATCCACAAGGAAACTCTGCAGAAAGCATTAGATACTGCAAAACACCTGTTTTGTTTCTTTCAGCTTGTTTTGACGGGAAGAATTTACAACCATCAGAAGAGAGACAACATAGTTCTGTAAAGCACATGTCAATTCTTTGCTACTGTCCTATGTTTTTAGCCCATAATTAATCCTCCCTTCCTTTCTTGAGAGGTAAGTCATTTGCATTTCTGTACACTTACTCTGTTAGTAAATGTGTATGAAAAGAGTGGACAGGACAAATTCTCACCCTAGCTTTTCCCACAGGGATTCCAAACTTCCTGAAGACTCTCCTCTAATCCTTTTTTGGTTTTTGACAAAGTGGTACATTTGGCAAGAAGCATGACAGCAGTGCATCAGTAACAGGGGTGCAAAACATAGGTTTGAGGACAGTATCATGAGCAAGCTTGCCAGGACCTCATCAGAGTCCAGGATTAAAATACAAAGTGTTACACAAATAATAGTGTTAAATGAAAGAGAGGTGCTTTTCAGTTACAGCCTTCAACATAGAATCCCAGACTGGTCTGGGTTGGAAGGGAGCTTAAAGCAAGAACACCCTCCATCAAACCAGGTTGCTCCAAGCCCCGTCCAGCCTGGCCTTGAACACTGCCAGGGACGGGGCAGCCACAGCTTCTCTGGGCAACTTGTGCCAGTGCCTCAGCACCCTCACAAGGAAGAACTTCTTTCAAAGATCTCATCTCAATCTCCCCTCCATCATAAGTAAAGGACCACTTTAAAGAACCAGCTTCCCAAAACCTGCTGCAAAAAGCAACAACTGTCACAAGGAAGCTTCAAATAGTTATGCAGTGCATTACTGTCCAACCCAAGTGTGTGTGTCTCTTCTCCAGCCAAATATTTTTTTTCAATCATGGTAGAAACTGCAGTTTTCAGAAACACATTATGCAAAGAAATAGCAAGGTTAAGGGAACAAAAAATCATGCAAGATGTGCTCCCTCTATAAAGGGATCTTCAGAGCAAAGGTTATTTTCTATCTGTCACTGAGTTGAAAGTAATAGTGAAAAGTGTAAAATTACACCAGAGTGATTAGGATGCCAAAAAGCTCAATTTACAAGTGAAAATAAGGGAATCAAGTCTCTACAACTCACTGAGGGCAACTAACAAATTGGCATTTGATATATGACAGCTCCCAAGAGGAAGAGGAATTCCTGAGGCTAGCATGAAGAGCTACAGTCAGATTTAAGAGAGGGTTTAAATTTATCATCTGGACAAATTACATGATGAGATGTATGCTGAATTATGGCAAAACTTCTCAAAGGCAGTGGTGGGAAACACTTCCAGAGGATTGGAGAATGGACTAGAGCACTGGATTTGCCAGAAACCTAACCACTTGCACCACTGGTACAGGAAATTACCAGGCTTTATGGGTACAGAAGCAAGTTTCAGGGTTGCAAATCCTCTATGTTTTGCACCCCTGTTACTGATGCACTGCTATCATGTTTCTTGCCAAACGTATCACTTTGTCCAAAACCCAAAAAGAATTAAAGGAGAGTCTTGAGGAATATGAAGGAATCCCTGTGGGAAAAGCTAGGGTGAGAATGTGTCCTGTCTACTCTTTTTGTACACATTTACTAACAGAGTAAATGTACAGAAACGCAGATGACTTACCCCTCAAGAAAGGAAGGGAAGATTCGTTGCTGCCTATGGGCTAAAAGCATAGGTAGGGCGAGACAACAAAACCAATGATATACTTTGAGTTCACATGCCACCAGTGCAGCAACCTTGTAATTGGCTCCCTTTAAGAGAGCTCATCAGCACGAATCACCTCAAACAAACACAGCCCTGGTGCTTCCAGGCAGAGAGCTGCCCCAGCAGAGCAGCTCAGGCCAGCAACCAGCATGAAAACACACTGCACAGGGTATAGTGACACCCACCCCACAGGGTCTCCTGCTTTCAACAAGTGCCAGCAGAGACTTCTGCAGCACTGTTAAACCCAGGATTAAAGCATTCCAGTACTCTTACAACAGGAGGATTAATAGCAGTTGGCACTCTGAAAACAAAACTAACTCTAGTGGCTAGAATAGCATGATCACACATATCCTCAGAAACAGCCTTGCAGAGACATGCTGTATGGACCACGCTCCTGCCCCAGGTTCAGGCCTCACACACTGTGGGGTCAGTACCTCCCTGTCACCCACAAACCAGCCAGGTCTTCCCCACCTGAGCCCTCCTCACTGCCCTGAAGCAGGGAGTAGTTCTGGACTGCTCAGGCTAGGCTTACCTGAAGTTCCTGAAATAGGCTTTCCTGTAGGGAAGGGGAAGCTTCAGCTGGCACCTGCAAAACACAAATACCATCAATCCTGACTGCTGAAGAGCAGTTGAACCTTGCCTTCAAAACAGAGAGAATGACATTTTGTTTAAATTTGACACGAATTCAAGCTGTAACTGAAGAAAGACGTCAGTAACCGTGGAGATGGAATCCACCACTGCCCTCAGCCGACCTCAAGGAAGGAGGAAGAAGGAGGATTATATGCTTCCATAAGCACTACTGAGCCAACCTGGGAGAGCTCCTGCAGCCTAGCACCAGCCCTCAGAGGTTCCTCCAAGGTGAGGAGCTGGGAGCAAAGGCCTGGCAAGGCAGAGTACAGATGTGGAACCAACCTGTTCAGGGAAGCTGATCCCTACAGACTGACTCTGCAGCTGTACCTGAGCACAAGGCAGCTTTGCTTAGCACCATATCACAAAGAAATGGGAAAGGGATATTTCAGCTTCCACAGGGAATATGCATCTTAATCCCAAAGTAGGCCAATCCCTAACTTGTTATTGCAAAAACATGTGGGTTGGCAGTTATAGCTACAGTCATGTGCAGACTCTGAACACAAGACAACAGTTGGGACTAAGTTAACAAACACTTGAATCCAGATTCCTGCTCTCCCAGCAACGGTCGCTCAGTGTCCCATGTCTGTTTCAACATCACGTGAACTATGATAATTCCCTCCTTGCACAAACACAGGGTTTGTGGCAGCTGAGAGGCATTCCTCAAAATTTTCCACGGACAGACATATGTCAGATCTGAACTTCACTTTTCTTTAAAGCAAAGAATAGACAGAAAAGAACACAGAAATTATTTCAACAGAGACTGGTCTGAATGTGAAGCAAAGCTTCCAAGTATTCTTTTGCCACTTTTGCACAGTTACTGAGTATCTCAGTAACATACATCATTCTTCCTACACCAAATACTTGAAACAACTGCATTCCAGTCAGTACTGATCTGTGTAGTTACACAGGCAGTATCTTACAGGTTAAAGGGGACAGTATTAAATCCCAGATGCCATCTCTTCAAACAGCACTGGGCACATGATAGAGAGAAAGAGAGAGAATATTTGCATTACATACTACCACAGTACAAAAAAAGAAAAAAAAACCACTAAAAAAATATCACTAAGCTGTAATAGAAAGTGCACTCAGAGGACAACTAAGGCTTGAGAAAGCTCTACAGAGGCAGCTTTCCAAAACAATCACAAGGGGCTATGAAATATCAAAGAGTCTTAATTAAAGACTTTCAGAGTCCCAGCCATCCAAAACTAAGTCCTTAAAACAAGAACACTTACTCAATCACAATAAAGGCTTTTAAATTGTAGAGGATCCTTCCTCCTGAGGAAGATCTGAGGGGGGTAGTGAAACCAAGAGGCCTACAGAACTGCAGGAGAAATCAGGCTTTGCAGATGCGCTAGTCAGTGTTGAGCAGAACAAGACAGAGGTGCCCATCTCTCAGCACTTACCCCTTTTCCTGCAGGGTGATTCTGTGAGGCAAGGTGCTCCTTCCCAATGCTCCTTCAGCTGCAGGGCTCTCCTTTTTGCTGGACTCTCCTGGGAAACCACAACTTTTCTTCCCTGCATCAAGTAACTGCCTGCCAACAGCTACAGAGTTCTTTTCCCCAGCTGAATCCCCTATAGAAAACCTTTGCTGCTCATTCAGGGCAGATCTGGATGAGCCAGGTGCCTTTTGGGGTTCAGCTGGAGCACAGACCTCTCTGGCACTGGCACTCACTGGTCTCCTAGGACTCCTTCCTTGTTTGTAAACTACCCCTTTTGAGGAGCTCTTCCCAGCTGTCCTGGGACTTCGAGAAACACATCTGGACAAGGCTTTCTTTTGCAGTTTTTTCACCTCTGCGTCAGTCCTGTAAGGGGCTTTTAGCTGGTATGGAAAGGGCTTTTTCAAAGAGGCAGGCTTTCTGCTTACAGATCTCACCTTCGTGCTCACAGGAACATCCTCAACAGGTACAGGCACTGGCTGCTCTTCAGCATTCTTGACAGCAGGTTCCTCACCTGCAGATTTCTCTCCTGTAGCTCCCTGGGCCTCTAATGGAGTTTTCAAGATGCTTTTCCTGACTTTCAGTGCCTTCTCTAAGGCTCTGTTCAGCAGTTCCAGCTCCTCCAGGTCCTTGGGTGAAGGCTTGTTCTCTGCAAGAGGAGAAGATGCATCAGAAGTCCAAACTTGGATCTTCCCCATTTGTCTCTAAACTAGCTTGTTCTTTTAGGTGCCACAGAAGGAAACTGAACCCTCTAAATGGTGTGGTGGGTATTTTGGCCAGCAACTATACAGAGAATGCAGCCAGGATTGCCAAAAGCCTTGAAGACCCAAGATAGCTGCGAGTCATAAGAGGAGGCAGTTCTCCAGAGTCAGCCTCTTTCATCTACCAGTGACAAACACCACACCTTGGTCAGGCCCACAGGCACTTCATCACTGGCCTGGGTTACTGCAGCACAGCTCCAAGCTAACACCAAGGGGGAAAGCAGGAGGAAAAAGACAGAGAGATAGGGGATTCCAGTTGATGCAGAGCACTGGAAAGACGTCCAACACTGAAACTGGCTCAACCCCGGTCAGGCCTAAGGCCAACGTGACATGAAGAGACACCAGGCCAAGTGGGAAGCACTCACCTCGTCCACTGCTGGAGCCGGCCTCTGGCTGCGCCTGCTCTTCCTCACTGCCCCTGAGCGGGGAGAAACACAGCACCAAGGGAAAGCACTGAGGGGCACCGACGGGCTCGGCTTCCCCAGCGGGAGGCCACGGCGAGAGCACACAAACACCCGCCCTGCCAGCACCACGAACCCCAGACCCGACGCAGGGCCACCGTGGGCCGGAAGCTAGGCCCGGCCGCACTCACCAGCGCTGCAGGAAAGCAGAGCTCCGCGCCGCCCGCTGCTCCAGCTCCCGCCGCCACCCCGCACCATCGCTCAATGCCGCCAACAGCGCCGCCGCAGACCTGCAGGGCCCAGCACCATCAGCGGTTCGCCTGGCCCCCGCCGCCCGCCTGGCCCCCGCCGCCCGCCTGGCCCCCGCCGCCCGCCTGGCCCCCGCCGCCCGCCTGGGCCCGTTCTCACCTCCGGCCGCAGCCCGTAGGCAGCATGGACCGAGTCTGCCCGCTCCACGCCGGCTCCGTTCGGTTCGGTCCTGACAGCTCTACACACTGCCGCCGTCGCTACGCCCACTAAACTCAGTGCCAGCAGCCGCGGTCCTTATCACCCTGCCAGGATCTGCGGGGCAGGGCGGGCTCTGAGGGGAGGGGCGGGAGCGGGCCAAGGAGCTGCGGACCGCGCGCGAGCCGGGTGGAGGGGGATCCTGAGCTAGGCCTGGGGCTCTCGGCCGGGTCTTGGGGGTGCTGCAGGCCCCGCTTCTCCCGCAGCAACCGTTGATTCCCTCAGGCGGCTTCAGTAAGTGTGAGTTTTAAGCCTCAATTCAGTCTCTGTGTCGTGTGGTCGATTCAGTGGAGGGAAGGGGTGGGATCCAGAGGGACATGGGCAGGCTGGAGAGATGCGACCGTGCGAACCTCATGGAGTTCAACAAGTACAAGTGCAAGGTCCTGCACATGGAGAGTCCAGAGGAGGCCTTGGAGATGCTGCGAGGCTCTGGAGCCAGGCTGAGAGGGCTGGGCTGGTTCAGCCTGGAGAAGAGAAGGCTCCTTAAGGGGAGACCTTAGAGCAGCTGCAGTGCCTAAAGGGGCTACAAGAAACCTGGAGAGGGGCTTTGGGCAAGGGCCTGTAGGGACAGGACAAGGGGAATGGCTTTAACCTGACAGAGGGGAGACTGAGATGAGCTCTTAGGCAGAAGCTCTTCCCTGTGAGGGTGCTGAGGCGCTGGCACAGGGTGCCCAGAGAAGCTGTGGCTGCCCCATCCCTGGCAGTGTCAAGGCCAGGTTGGACGGGGCTTGGAGCAACCTGGTCTGGTGGAAGGTGTCCCTGCCTGTGGCAGGGGTTTGGAACTGGGTGAGTTTTAAGGTGCCTTCAACCCAAAGCATTCTGGGATTCTGTGATTCTATGAGTAGATTGCTTCTTCTCGACTGCAAGTGCATGAGAAGCTCATTGTTTCCCTTCTTTTGGCAGAATTAGTGTGTTTTTCTCTTAATGAGGTTTAAAGGTCCTCAGCTGGTGCTGCTGCACGGTGACCGCACAGGGTTCTCTGCTGCTGGAGATGATGCAGTTTTACTGTACCTCAGCAGAGGGCTGAGTGCCGCTGCCAGCATCTCTGGGAGAATACAGCCTGGGCAGTGCAGAGTTAAGAGCTCTGTTAGGCACCTATATGGCTGTTGTTGACATTTAAGCAATTCTGAACAGCCAAAAAGGGGGTCAGACTGCTGTAATCCAGGAAAGATTCATCTGCAGTCCACTGGAGGCAGTGCTACTGACCCCACCAGCTTTTGCTTCAAGATTCTGGGGTTTAGAAGTGCTAATCAAAAAACATCCCTGAAACTCAAGAACCCCTTTTGTGTTTGAGATGAACCCTCCTGATCCTCTGGCTTTGTGCAGGCACTAGCATTCCACTAAACCACTTGGTTTAGTGGTGGTCTTGGCAGCCCTTGGTTAATGGTTGGACTTAATGATCCAACCTAGTTGATTCTGTGATTCTATTCCTACTGATAGACAAGGAAGCTTTAATGTGGGCCCTTTGTCATTACTGTGCCACTCACTGGGAAGACAATTTGTGCGTTGCCTCTGAGTCAAGAGCTAGGTTAGGCAAGTGCTGTTGCCACCCCAGAATTAGAAGGTGAAGAGGGCAAGGTTGTAACTGCCCCTTCCAACTGCAGCAAGTGCTGTGGAGAGAAACCATGGTGCAAGAGCTGGGCTGAGGTGGTAATTAGCATGTGGAGAGCAGAAGCTTTCTGACCAAGATAGCCACCCTGCTGCTGATGCATGGGCTTAAATCAGGGCTCTATCCACATAACAGCCCAGCTGCTGTGAGAGCTCCCTCTCTGCATCACCAGCCCTGCTCCATTCCATCCACACCTGGGCCATAGGCTCCTGTTGCCTCCCTTTCTGGGGAGTCTGGCACCAGGGTAGCCACTGGGTACATCAGCTCATCCCTCCTCCTGTGGGTGGTTGGCCTTTCAGTGGATCACCTGGTAAACCCAGCTGAGCTAAAAATCAGGGGTATTTGTGTCTGATTCTTTTCATGACAACAGCTCATGCTCAAAGGGGTAAATGCAGCAAAGAGCCACGTTTTGTTCATGTGGCAGTTAGCCCTGACCCAGACCTGATCTGGTACAGCTGGCACAGGAGATGTTTATGTCAGGGACTGGATTTTAAGCTGACAGTCTGAATTATGGTTTTACTTCAGTGCTTGCTGCAAAAATGCTGAGTACCATGACATGGCCCACATGATAAATAATATTTAAACTGGTGCAAATCACTACGTAAAGATTTATTTAACAAAAGATATGTGGGTTAAAATACTTGTGCAATGTGCAAGTGGCAGTGCTTGTAGCCGTAGCTTTGCCACCAGTTTTTCTCGGTGCCTGCAGTGATGAGGCACTTTGGGAAGTTACAGTGTCAGCACTCATTGCTTACACTGACAGGTGCCAGTGATATTCTACAATCCATATTTCTTCTTTTACTGAGAACCCAACTTTGGCTAATAAAAATTGCTGTGCAGGTACTTGGATCTCCTGCTGGCTGCCTAATGCTCTCTGAGAACCCTGCCCATCATGGGCAGGACTTCTAGGATAAAGTACAAGTAGGCATCACACTTTGATGGACACAAGAAGAGAAAATTAAGAAGCAGGAGATAAACTTCATCACTAATAAACTTTCTCACACTTTCTTTACTCTCTTGCAGAAGCTCTGCTCCTGTATGCTGCCTGCTGACCTGACGTAGGAAAATCCTCCCTGTATACACCAGGGTAACATCCTGTACAAACTCTTCAGGTTCTGTGGAGGTACCTTAAAGACTGAGGAACTGATTTGCACTTTCCCAAATCATTCTTGTTTGAGACAAGGAGGAGGAAAACCTCCCAGTTTTTCCGAATGTAAGCCTGAGGATGTTGCTATACTGCTGGAAAAAAAATAATACATAAATATCTAAAGATTCTTTTTCAGCTCTTGTCATCTGTTTGGAGCAAAGATTCCAGGAAATGAATCTGTGAGAAACACAGATTATAAATAGATTCCCAGACCCTGTATTTTGCTGCAGCCAAAATCCCTGTGGAATTCACATGGCTATCAGCAAGATGGGGTGGGAAGGGGATGTGACATGTCCCAGACAGAGGATGTCTTGTGGCACAAGTGAAGGGTGTCAGTGTGCAGGGGGCATGCTCACCTTGCTGGGGCACCCAGTGGGTGCTGTGGCTGCTTGCAGCCAGCAGGCAGATTCCCAAGCTGCAGGTCACAGGGAACATGAGTTTATAAAACCAGGACAAGCATCAGCTTTGTAAAACTGACAAAGTGAAAGATGCTGGCAGCAGGGACACTTTTATAGGAAAATACTCTGCTCTGTATCCTCACCCTCTTCCTGAACTGGAAGTTACATTCCATCAGTCCCCATTAAAACAAAACAGGGAGGATGAAAGTCTTACATGTGTGAAACCATGAAACAGATGGGGTGACAGCATGTGTCCAAGTTGAAAAAGAATACAGCTGAGGTGGGGAGATCTACATAAAAAAAGGGAAAATCTTTCCAAACATGGTTTCCTGAGACATAATTGTCCATATACCAGCTTGGACTTCAGGTTAGGGGGGAACCCCAGTGTGTAGGATCCAGGGCTCTGGCAGCTGGATTTTTGTGCTGCATGTATGCTGGGTCTCCAGCAGCACTTTGATTAGCTGTCCTGTGAAGCAGCTGCAGGTCTCTCACCAGGACCACACCAACGGGTGGGATGAGTGCTCTGCTGAGGCTCTGACTTCAGTGCTGGAGCACAGAGCAGCAGGGAACAGGGAGGGGGGATCTGCTGTCCCATAGGACATCCGACCAATGGCAGAGGCCAGAGCTCTGGCCTGCCCAGCCTGTGCAGATTCGGTACAGCTCTCCAGAGATCCTGCTTGGCCGTGTGGGTGGAAGGAAGTGAGGTGATGTCATGTGGGGGAAAACAGTGTTTAAGCAAGGGGAACTGCGCACTGGAGTAAGACCGGGGACAGGAAAAGCCAGGAATCTGGAGATTTGACCAGGGGGTTTGGAAACCATCTGCAGCAATTCATCACACAGCCCCTGTAAACACTGTGTGCAGGAGTGTTCTGCCTCTGGCTGCTATGTTACTCTGACGGGTTCTTTTGATGTGCTGCAGTAACAACAGGGTCTTTCCTCACATGTCCTGGTGAAAAATGATGCATTTAACACATGGAGGTCCCCATAGAACCAGGCCAGTGGTTTGCCACAGGGGAAGCAGTGGATTGATGACCTGCCTAGGGAGTGAATGTGTTAAGGTTCATCACATTAGCACATCTTCAAAACCCTGAGCCCAAGCTGAGGTCTCAGTTCACACCAAATGAAAGCAAAATCCCTTGGAGCTGCCAGCCAAGAGAAAGGCCTTGTCTAGTTGTTTTAGAGGGTCTCTGTAATTCTGAGGTATTTATGGGGCTGTTCTGCCCTTGAGGCTTCTCACTACCTGCTTTACAGTCTGGGAAAATGCAGGCAAATAAGAACCTGAGGGGTCCTTCCTCTTTTATCCGGGACCATGAACATTAGGACAGCATGGGTTCTAGTGGAAGGGAGATGTGTTCCTGTGGGACAACGAGCACCCACCCATGGACTACGCCTTCTCCTGCTGAAAACTCATGCACTGGGGCCCAGGATAGTGTTGGCCAGGCTTCTGCAATACCTTCAGTAACCCATCCGAGTTCTCACACAGGCCATGCTCATCCAGACATCAGTGCCTCAGGGTTGCTTCCCTCCTGATGGCAGGAGAAATCCTCCTGCACTGCATGGCCACTTACAAAGGGAGACACTGCCGCTGTGTCTGGGAGAGACCCAGCAGGCCAGACCTCTTCAGAGTGAGCTGCTTTTGCTACGCTGGAAAGACTTCAACAATCCTGCTAGAGACTGTTGCTGTGAGATCTGCATGAGCACTTGTTGCTCTGAATGTCTGCACCCAGGGATGGAGGTGATCTCTGGGCCCATCACTTCTGGAGGCTGCAGATGCCAAAGGTTGCATGGGTTCACAGCAAAAAAAGAACCCATTAGGAAAACTCATGGAAAAAAGAAAACACCAATAGGAATTAAATGCAAAGATATGAGCTCCAGGGAAGGTCACTTGTCTGTGTGCATACTGTG